CCTAAGCATTAAAGACTAATGTGGTGAAAACTAAAGGTTTCTATCTGCTGTCATCATCGAAAAACTAGGCAACAAAAGTACACCATAAGGGGTGGTCGCACAATTTTGACAGCCACTGTATATCTGTCTATTGGATCTTGACGTTTCTTGCAATCTAGTAGTCGAATGTAAGTGTATTTTCATCAGTTCACAGAAAAAAAAAAGATTATTTGAATAGATGTTTCGCCAGTGTATCGTTTATTACATGTGATAGATGATGCCACAACTGCTAGAACTACCGAATCCGTGAATGTCTTTCACAGGCGTAGCATTGCGATGTAGGCAAGTTCAAACGGTTAAATATGCCTTTAATCTGTCGAATCGATTATTTCCATTTAGATTGAAAAGCAATATGGTTTGGAAAGCAATCTACTTTCAATTGACGTCATCCGCACAAACCAAGATTTTGTTGAACAAAATCATGCGCAAGTTACAACTTATTTGTTTTCAAATATTTTTTTTTGCCTCTTTCGAAAGTCCTTTGCAATCAAATTATTGCAGTATCAAATCAAAATTTGGTTATAAACTCCATACTTATTATAGTGTTTCATCTTCGATATTTAATAATTTTCTCTCTCGAAGATTCATGTCATTTAACCACATTTTTACAAAGCCTTAGACTCAACATTCGATCTAGCAACAAAAATATCAATAGAAGCACACTAAACTTCTATTCAACTATCGATGAGCCATGTAAGTCATTTATAGACATTCGAATGAAATATTTTGTAATTTTATATATCAGATAAATTCACGAGAAAAATGCTTTCTGTTACAACAATGATTGATAATGACTACAATAGTCAAGAATCAGAGACAACGTTTTCCCTTACGACAAGTCTAACCGATCAACAGCTTTCAGCATTTATTTTTATGGAATTTGTTAGATTTTATGTATAAATACCGTTATATATAATGGCTATTATCATATGCAAGAAACTAGGGCTATAGGGAAGTATCTAGCTGATGGTAACATCTAGAATGACGCATATACCGAACAATCAGTTGAAAGTGAAGATTGACTCTGTAGAACTATAGCTTTCTTGTTGGAAAGGTTAAATATGTTCTATACTATCAATCGATAAGTACAGATAAATTCTTCACTTAAAATAAATCCAAGGAATATCAAAAGAATAAATCTCGATAGACCATCAATGAATAGTATTGAAACAAGCATAGATTAATATTCCTAGCTCAAGTTTTAGGAAGAAAGAATGATAAGAATCGGAAAAAATTGAAAAAAAAATCTAATTATTAATCTTGAGTTTAAATGATTTTTGAAAATCATTTTCTTTGTCATCATATTTTCTACATCGCATATTTATCTTCATTGTTACTAAGATGTTCAACTATTTTCATCAAGAAACGGTTCACATACAAGTACGGTAAGTGTGTGATAAGTATTCTGATTTTTCGATTGATTAATGGCTCCTTTCTATTGAACACTAAATGACCGTGAAACAGCTCGAATGCGCATTGAAATCACAAGTGAATGAAAAATTCGTAACGGCTACAAACTTCGGTTTTCTCCCGTTAATTGCATGTTTGGACACTGTCGGTGAATGAGAAAAATTTCAAATTATTCAAGTAAATGAAAACATCAATCATATTGCTTTGAGAGCCGTCGTCAACAAATTGTATGTAACAGGTGCGGATGATGGTATCCATCCATTGATTGCCAATCGGGCTCAAATCAATACATGGAAAACATTCGAAGTATTGAAATTCACTAACAGTACTATAGCACTTAGATCGATAGGTAATACTTGGTTCGTGTGTGCGGACAACATTGGAAATAGTCTTCTCATTGCAAATCAGAATTTAACGTACATATAGGAAACATTCAATATGGTTTCACAATAGTACAGTTGACACTCGAGCACTCACTTTATCTAGCAAACTTGCAATCTTTTAGATTGAAAAAGTAAGGTCTAGAAACTACAATTAATTCATTTGTGTCTGTCCGAAACACGTTTTTAAATTCTCTCCTTACTTTGCTGTTATTTGTGACTTTTTTTTCGTTTAATGCCGTGAATGTATTAAGACAAAATAAATGATATTACTGATCACTTTTGTGTCTCTGTGTGAATCTAGAATATGCTTCAAACAATAGGCTAATACAAATGACCAATCAATTGATTAAATCATGAATTAGCTTCATCACCGCTTTAGGTGGGTTGTAAGCTTGACTGTGAGCAAGTAAAATTTAACATATCCGCATTCAGCTTAAACCAAGAATATTGTTTATTGATAGAGATGTACGGTTTCAGTTTACTAATCACTGGACAAGTGTTCACTGAGCACTGACTATGCTGCACCAATGTCATTGAGACTGTCACTAAACTGACACATCGATGCTCACTGTAGTTTCGACGTTCATCGAATACTGACTACATTGATGTCAGCATTCAGTGAAACACTGACATACCGACTCTGTCATAGTATAACTATATACCTCTGGTACTTCTATTTATAATCCTCCACGAAAAATAGTCTAATGAGCGCATCGATCCTTCATAAAAATATCATAAATTTGAACCATCTATAATTTTCAATAAAAAGGCTAACGTTACAGGAATCCTTCATTGACAGCTCTTTTCTTAAAACATAAACATCGCTTTCAATCTAGAGTCTTTCTATTAAATATTCATTTTCTTCTATTATTTTGACATATTGTAGATAACTGTAATTTTTACCGAAGCATTTAGATCGGGTGTGGGTAAGTGAGTGAGGTGGAAGTGATCGCTCACACCCACATTCAAACCCTACAATACGTTTCAAGCAAAAACAACATACTACAATCAAACAATAAACAACATTTAGAATTAAAATATATAATCTATAAAAAAAAAACAATAATAGTAATAATGTTGGGAGAAGACGGTAATATTGGTACGGACAATTACAAATAAAAAGAAAAAGATATAATAGATTTGACAAATGTATTATTCATCCTTTTCATTGTCTTTTGCTTTCTACTTTGTTACATCACTTTATATAATATCGTATCATATATTTTATTGCATCTATTTCAACTGTTCGAATATTTTTCTGAAGAAGATTAGTCTAATTGATTGAAACGTTACAAATAAATAATTTTTCATAAAACAAATAGAAAGAGAACTCTTACATGAATAAAGTGCGTCTATCGTACGTGATGATAGTTTAACTAATATTGTTAATCAATCATCAGTTTCAACAAATAATAAACGATTAATGTCCGCGCCAGAATGAAAGAGGGGTGGGTCTAAGCGCAATATCTTGATGACGGCAATAGTTAGCGTCTTACGGCTTTCATCAAATGACAGAAGAGAAGTTGGGATATCTTTTTTGTCGATCATGTGTAAGACGAAATCCTTTTAAAACTAATCATCTTCGAAAAATATGGAAAATAATGCATGAAAATGACCTGCCATCTGACTGAAATATTGATTTTGATCTTTGATTTAGATAGAAGGACTTGAGATCTATAGTTAAAGATAAAATGCGCTTTCTTATTTTTCATTAAGTTTTCATCGAAATGTCAAGCTATTATGATAAAAAGTGTGAAAACTTAGTAAAAAGCCACTAAAACTTCCTATGATTTGTGCATGAAAATAAATGATTCCATTTGTTCCACTCTAGAATATAATAAGAGAACAATTTGCATTGTATCTTGAACTATAGATCTCAAGTCCCTCTATCTATATCAAAGGTCAAAATCAAAATTTCACTCAGATGACAGGTTATTTTCATGCATTCTTTTACATGTTTTTCGAAGATAATTAGTTTTAAAAAGATTTCGTCTTTTACATGGTGGGGAAACAGATATCCCGACTTGCCCTCTATCAACTGGTGAAAACCGGATGTCGCTAACTATTGCCGTTATCGAGATATTGCGCTTATACTCTCCCTCCCCCCCCCCTCATTCTGGCGCGAACATTAGCTTCTGCACCACCATAAAATCTTAAGTAACCTACACAACGACGTTGTCGCTTTGATGCTAATACAAATAATAGTCATGAACATATATCATCCTCATTCAATTAAAACACATCAACAGGTTTATTATCAAATTCAATTGTATCCCTAACAACAAATTTAAACAATCGACTTTTTTTCATTAAGTAGTCGTTTTTGTTTTCGTACATAATCACCTGGAAATAAATCAGCAACTATTCATTTTCTTGATGAAGATATTGATTTAGAAAGCAAAGAACCAACCCTTATAAAATCCGATAAACCATAAAAAGGAATATTAAAAACATTAAGACATCGATCACCATTTCGTTTTCGTTTTAAAGATGCTGTTATTATTGAACAAGAACCATCATCATCACCACCACTGCCACCAGCTTCACGCCCATCTCCACCTCATCCATCACCAAAAGAAACTAAACAAAAAATATCTGCACCATCATCAACAAAACGTCGTGGTCGATTTATAGAATTAAAAAAGATAACAAAAACATCTTCATCAAATGTTACATCAAGAAAAATTGTTAATGTAACACTTATTAATGATACATTAGGTTCATCTTTAGTACGACGTACATCAGGATTAAAAGATTTTATTCATAAATTTGATGTGGTACCACCAAAATCAAAACGAGTTGTAATAGATAATGTATCCTCAACAGAAACAAATCAAGATGAAAAAATAACTTCTGATCATTTGATTGATGATCAACAACGAGCTTCAACTAAACCAATCGGTACTCCCGATCTATTAAAAAATGTTGAAAAAGATCCACCAACAACATTAACAAAACCAATATTAAGGCATTTAGATTCAAGTAAACAAACAGTTTCATTTGATTCAACAGCAAGTATGATTAGTGCAAGTTAATCAATAGCTACAACGAGTAGTGGTACACGAAAACCAATATCAACAACACGTCTTCTAATTTTTTCTGCTGTAAGTTGAATGAAACTACTGTTTCTGTTTTAAACTGATTTTGTTTAGACCAAAGATGAATCATCGTAGCATAATTGTTGAAAAATTTCTTATAATTTTTATATATTGTTCTTCTTTTTCTGTATTTCTATTCGAATACTTGTAATCTGTCATATTCCCATTTGTGTAATTTAATTTTTGTTTTTGTGTTCTTAACATATATGATCAGAATGGTATTGCAGATAATTTTGTATGAAAAACAAAAAATAAAGAATCTTTTAACAAAAAAAGAATGCATAAATTTTTATATATCTTCATAAAGGATGAAAAAGCATACACTAATATATTTATAAGACATCTACTTCGTTTACATAAGCATCTAATACATCCTAATTTTCAGAGGGTGTGGGCGTGGGCGTGGGCGTGGGTGTGGGTGTGGGTGTGGATGGGGTGCGGGTGGGGTGTGGATGTGGGTGTGTGGCTGTGGGTATGAGGGTGTGCGTGTGGGTGGGGTGCGGGTGCGGGTGGGGTGTGGCTGTGGGTGTGAGGGTGTGCGTGTGGGTGGGGTGTGGGTGTGGGTAGTGATAATTGTGGACGAAGAGAAGAGTCACATCCATACCCACACCCACAGCCACACCCACCCACACCCACCCACACCCCCCCACACACCCAACGAGAATGAAACGCATCTGCCAATTATTGGTAATCAATAATGATGTGCAATATGCAGTAAAAGTAACGGTCAAGAGAAAAATATTTCTCATTATTCTGATTGTAAAACAGTCTTCTACACTGTAATTTTTTTTTCATTCAATGCTGTAGAAAATCGACTTTAAATAAGTTAAAGCGCTTTCAAACTATTATAATTCATTCATAGAATTTCTGCTATTTAGAAAATCTATCATTTTTTGAATAATAGAAATTCAATATTATTTCCTGCTTAAAATCGAAACTTGAATATGAATATTCTATTTTCAAGAAAGTAGAAATTCATCGCTGAATTCATATGGACATTCCTAGAATATTCTGTACGAATTCATATAGGCATTCTTTTTTTACATTGTATATGAACCCTAGAAGAAAATGCTTTTTTGTAATTATTATATGAATATTTTGTAAATAA